GGGATGCCTCCAGGGCTGGCCAGGCTTGTGACTCTGTGAGCTGTGTGGCTGAACAAGGTGCCGGGAGCCACACAAGTCACACAAAGCAGGGGCTGGGAATTCAGCAGTACAGAAGTACTGCACTGAGAATTGGGGGCTGAGCCAACTTGGCCATAGAGGCAGAGCCAAACCGGATGTGGGGGCAGAGCTACAGCGAGTCTCCATTTGCTGCCTTTCACTGCAGCACACTGAGAGGAAGCAGGAAGGAGTCCCTGCTTCCCCTACTCCAACACACCAGGAACTCACTGACTCCACTCCTCCACCAGTAAGTAAGAGAGAGAGAGTGTGAGTGTGACTGTGTGTGTATGTGTGTGTGTGTGAGACTGCTTGTGACTGTCTGCCTGTGTGTGTGTGTGTGAATGTCTGCCTGTGACCGTGTGTGTGAATGTCTGCCTGTGACTATCCGTGACTGTGTGTGTGTGTGAATGTCTGCCTGTGACTGTGTGTGTGTGAATGTCTGCCTGTGACTATCTGTGACTGTGTGTGACATTCACACACACAGTCACAGATATCACAGGCAGACAGTCACACACACACACAGTCACAGATAGTCACAGGCAGACATTCACACACACAATGTCACAGATAGTCACATACAGACATTCACACACACAGTCACAGATAGAGGAAGACATTCAAACACACAGTCACAGATAGTCACAGGCATTCACACACACAGTCACAGATAGTCACAGGCAGACATTCACACACACAGTGTCACAGATAGTCACAGGCAGACATTCACACACACAGTGTCACAGATAGTCACAGACAGACAGTCATACAGATAGTCACAGGCAGACATTCACACACACAGTCACAGATAGTCACAGGCAGACATTCACACACACAGTGTCACAGATAGTCACAGGCAGACATTCACACACACAGTGTCACAGATAGTCACAGGCAGACATTCACACACACAGTGTCACAGATAGTCACAGACAGACAGTCATACAGATAGTCACAGGCAGACAGTCACACACACACAGTCACAGATAGTCACAGGCAGACATTCACAGGCAGACATTCACACACACAGTCATAGATATCACAGGCAGACAGTCACACACACAAAGTCACAGATAGTCACATACAGACATTCACACACACAGTCACAGATAGAGGAAGACATTCAAACACACAGTCTCAGATAGTCACAGGCAGACATTCACACACACAGTCACAGATAGTCACAGGCAGACATTCACACACACACAGTGTCACAGATAGTCACAGGCAGACATTCACACACACAGTGTCACAGATAGTCACAGGCAGACATTCACACACACAGTGTCACAGATAGTCACAGACAGACAGCCATACAGATGTCTGCCTGTGACTATCTGTGACTGTGTGTGTGAATGTCTGCTTGTGACTATCTGTGAATGTGTGGTGTGTGAATGTCTGCCTGTGACTATCTGTGACTGTGTGTGTGTAAATGTCTGCCTGTGACTATCTGTGACTGTATGTGTGTGTGTGTGAATGTCTGCTTATGACTATCTGTGACTGTGTGTGTGAATGTCTGCCTGTGACTATCTGTGACTGTGTGTGTGAATATCTGCCTGTGACTATCTGTGACTGTGTGTGTGAATGTCTGCCTGTGAATGTCTGCCTGTGACTATCTGTGACTGTGTGTGTGTGTGACTGTCTGCCTGTGACTATCTGTGACTGTGTGTGTGAATGTCTGCCTGTGACTATCTGTGACTGTGTGTGTGACTGTCTGCCTGTGACAATCTGTGACTATCTGTGACACTGTGTGTGTGTGAATGTCTGCCTGTGACTGTGACTGTGTGTGTGTGAATGTCTCCCTGTGACTATCTGTGACTGTGTGTGTGAATGTCTGCCTGTGACTATCTGTGACTGTGTGTGTGAATGTCTGTCTTTGACCATCTGTAACTGTGTGTGTGAATGTCTGCCTCTATCACTGTGACTACAATGATGTGTGTGAATGTCTGCCTGTGACTATCTGTGACTGTGTGTGTGAATGTCCTGCCTGTGACTATCTGTGACTGTGTGTGTGAGAATGTCTGCCTGTGACTATGTGTGTGAATGTCTGCATGTGACTATCTGTGACTGTGTGTGTGAATGTCTGCCTGTGACTATCTGTGACTGTGTGTGTGTGAGACTGCTTGTGACTATCTGTGACTGTGTGTGAATGTCTACCTGTGACTATCTGTGACACTGTGGCCCAGTGAATGTCTGCCTGTGACTATCTGTGACACTGTGTGTGTGTGTGTGAATGTCTGCCTGTGACTATGGCAGCACACTGTGTCTGTGTGAATGTCTGCCTGTGACTAGCTGTGACTGTGTGTGTGAATGTCTGCTTGTGACTATCTGTGACTGTGTGTGTGAATGTCTGCCTGTGACTATCTGTGACTGTGTGTGCGAATGTCTGCCTGTGACTATCTGTGACTGTGTGTGCAAATGTCTGCCTGTGACTATCTGTGACTGTGTGAGTGAATGTCTGCCCGTGACTATCTGTGACTGTGTGTGTGAATATCTGCCTGTGACTATCTGTGACTGTGTGTGTGACTGTCTGCCTGTGACAATCTGTGACTATCTGTGACACTGTGTGTGTGTGAATGTCTGCCTGTGACTGTGACTGTGTGTGTGTGAATGTCTCCCTGTGACTATCTGTGACTGTGTGTGTGAATGTCTGCCTGTGACTATCTGTGACTGTGTGTGTGAATGCCTGTGACTATCTGTGACTGTGTGTTTGAATGTCTTCCTCTATCTGTGACTGTGTGTGAATGTCTGCTTGTGACTATCTGTGACTGTGTGTGTGAATGTCTGCCTGTGACTATCTGTGACTGTGTGTGTGAATGTCTACCTGTGACTATGTGTGTGAATGTCTGCATGTGACTATCTGTGACTGTGTGTGTGAATGTCTGCCTGTGACTATCTGTGACTGTGTGTGTGTGTGAGACTGCTTGTGACTATCTGTGACAGTGAGTGAATGTCTGCCTGTGACTATCTGTGACACTGTGTGTGTGTGTGTGAATGTCTGCCTGTGACTATCTGTGACACTGTGTCTGTGTGAATGTCTGCCTGTGACTAGCTGTGACTGTGTGTGTGAATGTCTGCTTGTGACTATCTGTGACTGTGTGTGTGAATGTCTGCCTGTGACTATCGGTGACTGTGTGTGCGAATGTCTGCCTGTGACTATCTGTGACTGTGTGAGTGAATGTCTGCCCGTGACTATCTGTGACTGTGTGTGTGAATATCTGCCTGTGACTATCTGTGACTGTGTGTGTGAATGTCTGCCTGTGACTATCTGTGACACTGTGTGTGTGAATGTCTGCCTGTGACTATCTGTGACTGTGTGCGTGTGAATGTCTGCCTGTGACTATATGTGACTGTGTGCGTGTAAATGTCTGCCTGTGACTATCTGTGACTGTGTGTGTGAATGTCTGCCTGTGACTATGTGAGTGAATGTCTGCCCGTGACTATCTGTGACACTGTGTGTGTGAATGTCTGCCTGTGACTGTGACTGTGTGTGTGAATGTCTGCATGTGACTATCTGTGACTGTGTGTGTGAAGGTCTGCCTGTGACTATCTGTGACTGTGTGTGTGAATATCTGCCTGTGACTATCTGTGACTGTGTGTGTGAATGTCTGCCTGTGAATGTCTGCCTGTGACTATCTGTGACTGTGTGTGTGTGTGACTGTCTGCCTGTGACTATCTGTGACTGTGTGTGTGTAAATGTCTGCCTGTGACTATCTGTGACTGTGTGTATGACTGTCTGCCTGTGACTGTGTGTGACTGTCTGCATGTCACTGAGTGTGTGTGACTGTGTGCTGCCTGTAACTATGTTACAGTCTGCCTGTAATTGTGTGTGTGTGACTGTCTGCCTATAGCTGTGTGTGACTGTCTGTCTGTAACTGTGTGTGTTACTGTCTACCTGCAGCTGTGCGTTTGACAGGGTGCAAGTGTTTGGTACGGTGTACATGTGGCTGTATTTGACAGTATATACGTATAACTGTGTACATCTGACTGTATCTGACTGTCTTCGCCCTGCAGTGAGTCGGCACATAACATCATCCAAGCATCGGCGTCATATTACAGGATGTGCAAGGGACGTGTGCATGAAGAGCACAGAGATCCCAGCATCTCTTAATTATTAAATGTGTGCATGTATGTGATGATTGTATGTATATATACACACATACTTAACTTCAGAGATACACACACAACCAAACACTTAAACACAGACATAGACAATCACAGACCCACACACATACAATTACAAACACACATAATTAGATATGCACATGCAAACATCACATACATACACACGTGTGTGTGTGTGTGTGTGTGTGTGTGTGTGTATATATATATATATATATATATATATATATTTACCAATGTAGGATGCACTCACGGATTTCCAAAAAGTAGTTAAAAAGTTAAAGTTTTATTAATCCATCTCTTAAAAAGCTGCTTCAACGTTTCAGTCCACGTCTGGGACTTTCTTCAGGACCAAACAGCCATATCACATATCAAATATATATATAAGACAAGTAATAATTGTAAATAAACTTACCCCAGGTGTACCAGATCCCATGAGTGCTTCCGCCCGTGGCCCCCAGTGTGCACTGCGCATGCGTAACGTGCTCCGCCCCCACTCTACGTGATCACGTGATTCCGTTGTTGTGGAGACCTCAGAATAAGCCGCGTCTCCATGGCAACCCGAGTATACACTGACAGGGTTGAAAAAAGCAAAGATGCTAAGTGAATAATATCCGGCAGCATTAAACAGAACATCCAAGTATTGAACATCTATACTAATAATAAGACCAGTGCACTAATTTGACCAGTTTCACTAATCAATACATGGTTGTTTTTCATTCACAACTGAATACTGTTTGCCTATAGACTTATCAATAAGATAATACTTCTATGTGGTTATGCTGTTGAAAAACTAAGCATATCTGTAGGTTCCAGTATCAATGTTTATACAATCTTTATAGTTTGCACTTTCATATGTACTGCACTTAAGCACTTTGTATTTATTAGCACAATCACCTTATTAACACATGCACTTTATAAATCTATTGATTGTAGATAAAAGGATTCAAATGCCCCCCAAAACACCACACAACCCCATAACACATTATACATCCCTGGAAAGCCCTGATCTGGGTGAACAACATATCCCAAAATCACCCAGATCAGAGCAGGGGTTCAGGAAATTCCTGGAAGTCATATTTGACCGACCGCAAGCATGGCTTTCATGCCCAGAATGGTTCCAGGGATTTAGGCTGTGCGGCCGGTCTATTTCACATAGTTTCACATAGTTCAAAGTACAAGGAAGGGTGGGGTCAGACAATAGCAAGGGCTGATGGGAGA